AAATTTAAAAAAAAAAAAAAAAAAAGTGCAACATTTCCTGCAAGCCAAAAGCCCTGATCTTTTTCCAGCCAGCTCAAGGTAGAAGTCTTAAGCTGGAGAAATCTTGGGAAAGATCTTAAGTAGCACTAATCTAAATAAGTGACATGCTGCCTATGACAGGGTACAGACTAAAATCAAAGTTATTTATAATGGCCATCTGAGTGAGAATCAAAGGGACAGGATTGTAGTGTGGCTCCTCTACTCCTGAAACTGAGACAAGTAGCAATGAAAGCTGTGGAGGTGACAGTAGTGAGCTCTCCCATTAGAACAAGATGGGCAAAGTGTGTCAGCTAGCAAAGGCCGCATAAACAATAGGCACTTCAAGGGCACATTGTAAATGATTCCCACTAGTGGCCTAAAAGGAAGTCAGGCAGGGAGCAGAATATTCCAAAGAGATTGGAAGGGAGTAAAATACTTTGGGTTGGTAACATGAAAATATCCCGTCAAAAAGATGCAATGTAGATTTGTAATGATTCATTTGTAATCACTATTTCTCTTCTTTCTGCCTGAAATGGGTTTATAGTTTCAGACTTTCAGGGAAAAACTCAGACAATGGTGTCCTGTTATGTTTTGGGTTAAGTTACATTAAAACTGGTGCTTAAATCCTCACCCTTAATTTAAGAAATTTGTAGGAAGCCAGTAAGCTCCTTTATGGCACCAAGTAGCTGAAAAAACAGGGACTTCAGAACAGAAGCTGATGTTACTACCCAAAATAAAGCACAGGTGAAGTTATTCAGGAACTTATTTGGGGCTTAAGAGTCTTCCCTGGGCATTGTTCTAAAAACATAGGGGTGCCAGAGAGAGGATGCAATGATCTCAGAAGGAATACAAAGCCAGGAACACAGCCTGGACAGCCTGTTCTGGAGTGAAGCAAGGATTAGAGCCCACCCCAAGATGGAGTTTGGGTCTGGGGTTTGGGGGACTCCAATCCACCTGCCCCACCCTCCAGTGCTGGCTGGGCAAACCCCAGACCCAACTCACTCCTCCCCCTCCCATTCTGAAGAAAGTGCCTGGAGCAGAGTTGTGCTGCATAAGTCCAGCCCTGCTTCCAGTGCACACTGACAGATGTTATGAAGGTGCTTCACTCTGGAGCACCTTCATCTGATGTAATGAGGGTTCAGATTAAAAATAACTGATCATTTGACAAAGTGCTCTGAAGCCGTGCATTTGTCAGTGCATGGCTGTAGAGCATTGTCACGTGATTGGCCACTGAAAAAGTCACGTCTGTCAGCGCCCTCAGATGCAAGTGAGGTTTCAAAGAAGCTTAGGCTTGGTCTCTTGCTGTTGATTCCTCCTTTGTACACGAAATCAAGACTTACAAAAAAAATTGCCAAGCAGATGTCAAAAACTGTATGCAACTGTCATTAATTTCTCCTTCTAACTAGACACTGACGGTTGTTCCCAAATTTTTGACCAACTAGTGTGTCAAAAAAGGTATTATAATATTTATATAATACTTGAGTGAATGACCACCATGGTTTTGAAAATATTTTCTTCTCTCTGTAGGACGAAGTTTGGCTTTTTTCATTTTAAGATGGATAATGGAAAAGAAAAGCATTGGTCCAGGCATAAATGGACCCCACATACTAAGGTTTTGGAACGAGACAGACAATACAGAAAAGTCTAAGTAGGAACATTTTTGTTAACATTGCCAAGAAAAAAACCCATGAAAGATGATAGCACCAAAGCTTGGGAAATAGAAATCTCATGCCAGTGATGCTAGAATCTCAGAAATAACATGTCAAAGATGTTGAAACATTTAGAAATACAATCTTTTAATGTTTCAATGTCTTCAGCATGTTCTCACCATTTTTCATGACAAGAATTTATTGAATCAATTCATCTTCAACACATGTTAAATGTACTGTATGTGGGCAGGTAAGCAATTGTTATTTATACATTATTAGAAAGGAAAATGTTAACTACACATAACTAATACCCAAGCACTCTTGCAAATTGTGTTCCTTTTAACAGCAAATACCACACATCTGGTTCTAATAGTTACATTTTCCTTGTACCTGACCTTGTGTAGTTTCACAAATGAATGACTTGAAGGGAAAAGACAAAGGGGCAATCTAATCTGTGGCATTGAAGTACGGCTGAAAAAAAAAAAAAAAAAA